AGGCAATCTCTTGAGATATAAAAGAGAGAAGTGAGCAGAGAGACAGGGGGACCTCATACCACCAAGAAAGCAGTGCCAGGAGCAGAGTGTGTCCTTTGGACCTGGGTCCCTGCAAAGCTCCTAGTCCGGGGGAACACTGATGAGAAGGCCGACAGAGAGAGAAAGGCTTCCCCTAAAGCTGATGCCCTGAATTTGGACTTATATAGCCTACTTCACTGTGAAGAAATAAATTTCTCTTTGTTAAAGCCATCCTCTTGTGGTATTTCTGTTGTAGCAGCACTAGATGACTAAGACACTCATTTTTTCTTTCCTAGATTCATGTCTGCTGTTTTGGAAACTCTGGCGGTGTAGTGGTTAAGTAGTACGGCTGCTAACCAAAAGGTTCAGCAGTTCGAATCCATCAGGCCCTCCTTGGAAACTCTATGGGGCAGTTCTACTCTGTCCTGTAGGATCATCTATGAGTCGGAATCAACTTGATGGCAACAGGTTTTTTTTTGTTGTTGTTTATTTTTTTCCCCAGATACGAAGCGCAGACAGTAAGGTGATGTGTGTGAAGCTGATGCTGGCCACCCAGGTAGAGGACACTAGCCCTGCCCTGAGCTGAGGGGCAGGTGCGCCTGGGCAGCTGTGAGTGCCACCCCCACCACCCTCGGAATTCTGTGATCATGTGGCTTGTTCTCTTCTCCAGAGTTAGAACTATTTCATTTCACTTGCTTCTTCAGGTCCTTAAATCCCTTCACTTGCAGACTTTGGCACCACTTGAATATCAGCTCCAGGAGGGTAGAGCCTTGTCCTTGTTACAAATTCAATGCCTAGAAGTGCCTGGCACATAGTAGGCCCTCAATAAATACTTCACTGTGAGGTTCCTTCCTCATCTGGGGCTTCTCCAAGAGCCTTGAGCCCTTTCTTCAACCCATGGAGGCTCCATACCTTTCTCGACCGCTGTCCAAAGCTGCCCACAAGCTCCCATCAGTCCCCCTCCTGGGGGCCCTGGACCTCCTTTCCTGGCCTAGATGCCCAGATGCTCAGAGGAGAGCTCCAGAGAAGGCCTTCCAAGCCCTGAGGTGGGTGTGACCTTTACAGAAATTCTGGGTAGTGATTGCCAAGGTGAAGTTCAAAGGTACACCCTGACTTTAGCATCAGAAAAATCTGGGTGTATGTCTCAGCTTTATTACATATCAACTGTGTGTTTAGGGGTAATTTACTCACCTTCTCTGGGCTTCAGATGTCTCATCTGTAAAGTGGTGAAAACTGTGCCCATTTCACATGGCATTTGAGGGTGTTAAATGAGATAATGGATGTAAAATGTCTGCTAAATAATATTAAGTTGAACAGTATGAAAAAGCTGATGTTCAATTATTTTTGAACCAAAAAAGCAGGAATGTCACATGATACAATCTAATAAAAATTGATAACCCCCTGGCTAGCCAAAACAAGAATAGAGAAAATACAAACACATAAAATTAGAAATGAAGGAGAAAGTAACCACAAATACAGAGAAAAGCAAAGGAATCAAAACAGTACATTGCAGAAATACTCTACAAATACATTTACAAACTCGGATAAATGTATGGTTTTCTAGAATAACATAAATTATTAAAATTGACATACAATTTAAATGTTTAATAAATAAATGTCAGTCCCCAGCCTTCCTTCACCCAAGATGCTGTTCCTGGTCACTACGTCCTAACTCTGTTCCCTACCTCTCCTTGGCTGTAAATTGTGTGAACCACTGCCCCTGTTCACAGCTTCTTGTCTGCTGTTCTGTCTCAAGGGTCTGGCTTATCTTTGGTTGCTCTCTCTCTCTCCTGATTCACTTCTCTCGCCTTACAGCAACAAAAATAAACCTTTTTTTTTGGTCCTTGTCTTAGTCATCTAGTGCTGCTATAACAGAAATACCGTAAGTGGATGGCTTCAACAAAGAAAAGTTTATTTCCTCATAGTAAAGTAGGCTGAAAGTCCAAATTCAGGGCATCAGCTCCAGGGCAAGGCTTTCTCTCTCTGTCGGACTTCTTCTCATCAATGTTCCCCCGGACTAGGAGCTTCTCCACGCAAGGATCCCAGGTCCAAAGGACACGCTCTGCTACTGGCACTGCTTTCTTGGTGGTATGAGGGCCCCCTGTCTCTCTGCTCACTTCTCTCTTTTATATCTCAAGAGATTGCCTCAGGACACAATCCAATCTTGTAGATTGAGTCCTGCCTCACTAACACAACTGCCACCCATCCTCCCTCATTAACATCATAGAGGTAGGATTTACAACACATGGGAAAATCACACAATACCCAGAATCATGGCCCAGCCAACTTGATACATACATTTTGTGGGGGACATAATTCAATCCATGACAGTCCCACTTTTGAGGACATCCTGCAGTTGAAATTTTGAGGGTAAAAATATCACCAGGACTCCCAAAAGATTCTATGTCACTTGTGAAGGTGTCCTTATACTTAAGAGATAGGAAGGATGTCAGGAAACCTTCAGTATTATCTCCCCACTTACCTGGAACAATAACAGTTATTTACAAGCCTCCTAATTTGCCTTTCTGTGCTTTCTCCCATCCAGCACTTACCAATCCTCCTCCCCCAGTTTCTGTAAAAATAAACACAGGAGACTGGAGGTCATTCTTGGGCTAGGACTTTCACTTTTTCTGTAAGTCCTCTATGGGATGCTCTTCTGTTGTCTTAATGTTTTACCTTAGGATCCCAAAGTCTCATCTCACATCACTGAATGAGAAAGCAGGAAAGTAAATGAGCTAATCGTCCAACTCAAGAAGTTGGCAAGGACACCCAGCAGAGAAGGGAAGAAAGAGTAAATCTAGCGCAGACATTGGTGAGTTAGGAAACAGGAAAACAGTGGAATTCATATATACATTGAAAAACTGATTTTTCTTTGGGAAGGAGCAAATGATAATACAGACAAACCAGTGGGTAGCCAAGTTAAAAAAAAAAAAAAATGAAGAAGACACAAATACACAATTCAAAAGAAAAATAACCAGAGTAATTTGCAAGTCTCTACAAATAAGTTTGTAAACTTGGATAAAACAGATGATTTTCTAGGAAAATACAAATTATCAAAATTGGCCTGGAATAGTTTTTTTTTTTAATTTTTTTTATGTAGACCAAATAAAGACGAATGTTATCAAGTAATTACTTCCCATCCGAAAGGGGCAAAACTCAGACAGTTACACAAATGAATTCTTTTAAATCTTTAAGGAACAAACAATCCCAACTTTATTTAAACATTTGCTGAGAATATAGAAACCAAAAAATTTCTTTAATTCTTTACATAAAATTGCATAATATATCCAGACTAAAGTCTGACCAAATCTCTTCATAGTCATCACCTTCTTAGTTCACAGGAGGAAAAAATAATCATCTCCATAGATACTGAGAAGGCATCCAACACCTGTTGCTGGTGTTTTGAAGAATCCTCGTAAATAGATGTGAATAGACACATCCTTCAGACTTACTGGGAAACACTAGACCCTTTCCCGTGAGTCAGGGACAAGGCAAGGATGAGAACTATCACTACAGCACTGGGCGTCATTCTGGGGGACATCTTTCTCAGTGAGAGAAGGAAATACAAGAAATAAACATCAGAGAGGAACACAAACTCTCAGTCCATGCAAAGCATGTGAAAGCCCAAAAGAATCAACGGAAAACTTGATAATAGGAGGATGACTGGTTTCCAAATCAACATACAAAAATTAATTGATTTTCTATAGATAACTAGTTAGCAAATAAAATAGAAAAAACAGCCAATTTATGAGAAAAACAACCAAAAAGGTTTTAGATATCCCAGGAGTAAATAAACCTAACAAGAAATGTGCAGGGCCTGTGAGAGGAAAGCTGTCCTGGCTGAGGGCCCAGAAGCTGAATCCCTGGGAAGGAAGACTCCAGCCTTGGAGTTCTCACCAAAGGAACGCTCCTCCCTTCTCTCCCCACCGCCCTTCCATCTCCCCTCCATCCCCATCTCTCCTTGGAGACAACTGACCCTGGCCCTCAGGCCCATCTAGGGGCTGTCACCAGCCAAACCTGTGCCAGAGCTTCTCCCTGCTCAGGCTCCAGTCAGTTCCTGTGCTGCTCCAGCTACACCTCTGTGTCCCTGACACCACGGTCTGCTTTTCCCCAGTCCCCATGCTTCCTGCACATCTAGCAACAGGAGAACCATGGGGAGGATGCCTCCCCCAAAATACATGCCCCTCATACCACTCTCCCACCCACTCAGAGGGCAGCCTGCCTCTCACCTTCCTTCTTCCCATAATGATTCCTCTGAGAAGTTCCCACAAATACCCTCCTCCACACCTACCTCTGTGCCCCACAATCCATGAGGCTATCAAAGGTTGTGGGGTGCAGAAGGAGGGACAGGACCTAACCCCTTCTCTCCAACGGGTGCAGTCCTTCAGTGGCAGACAGAATGGTGTCAGAGTCCAGATTTGGGGTTCCTCATGTGACACCTCCTTTGCTTCCCTCCCCCTCATACACTCTCCCTGCCTCCCACTGCCCCAAGACAGAGTTTCAGTCCAGGATGCCCCCTCACCTGGGACCAAGAGAAGCAGCAGAGCTGAAGGCAGCCACGTGGCACAGTCCCACTGGGTCATTTCTCAAAGGCAGGCGTCATCTGAAATAGCCTGAGTCCCAGCTTGATACCACATTTCAGCCCTTCCCAAGAGAGGAGGGTCACACTTCTGCTTTTCTTCGAGACTCACACTTCTGCTTCTCTTGGAGCTGCAGCACTGCTTCCTTCTTCAGATTCTGTCTTCCAGAGCTGGTCAGAAAATGGACACTGAGGGGGCAGAGCAGCCCATAGCTAGCAGAGATGCCACTTGGAATGAGTATTCTCCTATTTAATCCCAGTTGAATCGAGGATCCCTAGCTATTTCCAGTCAAGATACCGCCCCCACCCCCATTACTCACTGTACTCACAGGCCTGCTCTGTCTACCCTCTCCCGCATACCCCAGGACTACAGGGCTTGGTGGGGTGGCTCCCTTCTGCTGTGACCAGTAACTCCTCCCTCACTTCCTTATGGTCATGATTAGTAGCCCTGTGGGGAGGAGTAAGGCCACACTGAGCTTATCTGGCCCTTGGTGGTACCAAAAATGAGGCTGTGTCCTGGGAATCTTCCCTAACCCCATGATCCTCCCAGCTCTAGCCCTGAACCTCCAGTTGGCACTATAACCCCAGAGTTCCTGAATGGTTTCTAGTCTTGAACATGTGTCCTCATCTTGACAGAAGGTCCTCAGGTTGTGGCCTTCCTTCTTGCATAGCCCCCACTGGACCCAGTTCAGGGCTGGGCACAAAGCAGGGACCCCATAAACTTGCATGGACCCACCTTCTTTCAGATCCACATGGACCCCAAACTCTAAACACACACATACATTCCTTGTGGTAAGCGTCTTCAGCTTGCACAGAGTGGCCATGTAAGGATAGGAAACCGGGGTCCTAACCTGTAATGCATTCCCTGAGAGCTTGCAGTTCTTAAACTCCCAGCATCCACCTGTAAGGAACACTGTTCCGGCTATGAGGTCCCAAGAATGTCCTTCCTTTCTGGCTCGTTGATGCTCCTTTCGGAATTTTCACTTTCCTCCTTCCTTCTGGCCACATCAACACCTTCCCTGGGAGAGTGCTAGAAAACGAAGGAGAGTTGCTGGTATTCCTGCTGGAAGATTCCAAGGACAGAGTGTGGTAGACACTAGAAGAATTTCTATGAAAAGGGATTTAATTAACTAAAGCTAGCATGGTTTTTCCTTTGGATCTTCACATTTTTTAGGTGAACATGAAAATGTATGAGAGAAGTTGTATGAGGTGGTTTACTTGGTGTAATAATTGTAATGTGTTCCAGAAATGTATGTTTCAATCCAACCATGATTCAGAAAGGATTCCTATAGTCTTGAATGTCAAGGTTAAGAGGAGAATGCACTAGACTAGGAAGCAGGAGGCTAGGTCCTCCTGTGACTCATTCACTTATCACCTGCATGACCTTGAGCAAGACATGTGGTGTCTCTATAAAATGCCGATAATAAAATCTAATTTATGGAACAACCAACACCAAAACGACAAACCATTCAATTAAAAAATGAGCAAAAAAAAAAAAAAAATGGGCAAAGGACTTGAGTAGACATTTCTCCAAAGAAGATGTACAAATAAATGGTCAATAAACAATTGAATATGGCCTTGGTGATATAAATGATGCCAGACATTACGTGATAGAATTTTGCAAGATCAATGAGTTTTTCATTGCTGATACCTTTTTCAAGAATATAAATGGTGACTATATATGTGGACTTCACCAGATGGAATATACAGGAATCAAATTGACTATATCTGTGAAAGAGATGGTGAAGAAGCTCAATATCATCAGTTAGAACAAGGCCAGGGGCCAACTGTGGAACAGACCATCAATTGCTCCTATGCAAGTTCAAGTTAAAGCTGAAGAAAATTAAAACAAGTCCACAAGAGCCAAAGTACAACCTAGAGTATATCCCACCTGAATTTAGAGACTATCTCAAGAATAGATTTGACTCACTGAACTCTAATGACCGAAGCTGACAAGTTGTGGGATGACATCAAGGACATCATACATGAGGAAAGCAAAAGATCATTAAAAAGACAAGAAAGAAAGTAAAGACCAAAATGGATGTCAGAAGAGACTCTGAAACTTGCTCTTGAACATAGAGTGGCTAAGTTAATGGAAGATATGATGAAGTAAAAGAGCTGAACAGAAGATTTCAAAGGGCAGTTTGAGAAGACAAAGTAAAGTATTACAATGAAATGTGCAAAGATCTAGAGCTAGAAAACCAAAAAGAGAAGAACACACTCGACATTTCTCAAGCTAAAAGAACTGAAGACAAAATTCAAGCCTCGAGTTGTGATACTGAAGGATTCTACAGGGAAAACATTAAACCATGCAGGAAGCATCAAAAGAAGATGGAAGGAATACACGGAGTCACTATCCTAAAAATAATTAGTCGACGTTCAACCCTTTCAGGAGGTAGCATATGATCAAGAACTGGTGAAGAAAGAAGTCTAAGCTACAATGCCAATATTGGCAAAAAACAAGGCTCCAGGAATTGACAGAATACCAATTGAGATGTTTCAACAAACAGATGTAACGCTGAAAGTGCTCACTTGTCTATGCCAAGAATTTGGAAGACAGCTACCTGGCCAACTGACTGGAAGAGATCCATATTTGGGCCCATTCCAAAGAAAGTTGACCCAACAGAATGCAGAAATTATCGAACAATATCATACACAAGTAAAATTTTGCTGAAGATCATTCAAAAGTGGTTGCAGCAGTACCTTGACAGGAAACTGCCAGAAATTCAAGCTGGATTCAGAAGAGGAGATGGAATGAGGGATATCTCTGCTAATGTCAGGTGGATCTTGGCTGAAAGCATGGAATACCAGAAATATGTTTACCTGTGTTTTATTGACTATGCAATGGCACTCAACTGTGTGGATCATAACAAATTATTGATAACATTGTGAAGAATGGGAATTTCAGAACACTTCATTGTGCTCATGCGGACCATGTATATAGACCAACTGGCAGTCACTCAAACAGAACAAGGGGATACTGCATGGCTTAAAATCAGAAAAGTTGTGGGTCAGGGTTGTATCTTTTCACCATACTTATTCAATCTGTATGCTGAGCAAATAATCCAAGGTGGACTATATGAAGAAGAGCAGGGCATCGGGATTAGAGGAAGACTTACTAACAACCTGCAATATGCAAATAACACTACCTTGCTTGCTGAAAGTGAAGAGGACTTGAAGCACTTACTGATGAAGATCAAGGACTACAGCCTTCAGTACGGACTGCACCTCAAAGTAAACAAAAATCCTCACAACTGGACCAATAAGCACATCATGATAAACAGAGAAAATATTAAAATTGTCAAGGATTTCGTTTGACTTGGATCTACAATCAACACCCATGGGAGCAACACTCAAGAAATCAAAAGATGGATTGCATTGGCCAAATCTGCTACAAAAGACCTCTTGAAAGTGTTCAAAAGGAATGATGTGACTCTGAGGACTAAGATGCCCTTGAGCCAAGCCATGGTATTTTCAATCACTTCATAAGCAAGTGAAAGCTGGACAATGATTAAGGAAGATCGAATAAGGATTGATGCCTTTGAATTATAGTGTTGGTGAAGAACACTGAGTATACCATGGACTACCAGAAGAATGAACAAATCTGTCTTGGAAAAAGTACAGCCAGAATGCTCCTTAGAAGTAAGGATGGTGAGATTTTGTCTCATGTACTTTGGACATGTTATCAGGAGGGATCAGTCCCTGGAAAAGGACATCATTCTTAGTAGAGAGTCAGTGATAGAAGGAAGACCCTCAACAAGGTGGACCGACAAGTGGCTGCAAGATTGGGCTCAAACATAGCAATGACTGTGAGGATGGCACAGGACTGGGCAGGGTTTCGTTCTGTTGTACATAAGGTCACTCTGAGTCAGAAACAACTCAACAGCACCTAACAATGAGCACATGAAATGATGCTCATCATCATTAGCCATCAGGGAAACGCAAATCAAAACCGCAATATTGTTTCACACCCACCATCATGGCTATGATCAGAAAAACAGGAAATAGAAAGTACTGATGAGGATGTGGAGAAACTGAAACCCTTATATATTGCTGGTGGGAATGTAAAATGGTGCACCCGCTGTGGAAAACGGTTTGGCGGTTCTTCAAAAAGTTAAACGTAGAATTACCATATGATCCAGCAATTCCACTCCTCAGTATATGACCAAAAGACTCACAAGCATAGATCCAAACAGATACTTGTACACCAATGTTCACTGCAGCATTATTCACAATAGCCAAAAGGTATCCATCAATAGTTGAATGGATAAACAAAATGTGGTACATGCATACAATGCAATATTATTCAGCCATAAAAAGAAATGAAGTTCTGAGACGTGCTATAACATGGATGAATCTTGAAAACATTATACTGAGTGAAATAAGCCAGACACAAAAGGACAAATAATGTAGGATTTCACGCATATGAGGTGTCTACAACAGACAAATGTATAGAGACAGAAAGTAGAACGTTGTTTGTCAGGGTCTGAGGGGAGGCAATGGGGAGTTGTTGCTTAAGGGTATGAGTTTCTGTTAGGGGTGATGAAAAGCTTTTGGAAATGGATAGTGGTGATGGTGGCCCAACATGACGAATGTAATTAATATCACTGAACTGTACACTGAAAAATGGTTAAAACACAACATGATGATCATAACTAAGCCACTAAATTGTACACGTGAAGAATGTTGAAATGGCAAATAATTTGTTACATACATATTTTCCACAATAAAAAAATAGAAAAATGGTCAAAATGACAATTTTTTTGTTACATATATTTTGCTGTTATTGTTGTGTGCTATTGAGTCCATTCTGACTCATAGCAACCCTATAGGACAGAGAAGAACTGCCCAATCGGGTTTCCTAGGCTGTAATCTTTGTGGGAGCAGATTTCCAGGTCTTTTTTCCCAAAGAGCTGTTGGTAGATTTGAACCACCAACCTTTCGGTTAGCAATTGTGCCACCAGGATGCCTCTGTGTGTGTGTGTGTGCGTATACAGTTTAAAATAATTAATTTTATTTTTATTGTTGTTGAGAGTATACACAATAAAACATACACCAAGTCAACAGTTTCTACATGTACAATTCAGTGACATTGATTACATTCTTCAAGTTGTGCTACTGTTCTCACTCCCTTTTTCAGAATTGTTCCTCCTCCATTAACATACAATCACCATCCCATTTTGAGTTGCTGTTGTTGATTTGATCCCATATAGATAGATCTTAAAAGAGCATAATCCTCAAGGCAGGCATTCTTTACCAGTTAAGCTAAGCTATTGTTTGGTGTTAAGAAGACTTTAGGGTATATTATTGGTTTAAAGTTTAAAGATTGTCTCAGGGCACTAGTTTTGGGGATTCATCCAGCTTCCATGGCTCTAGAAAGCCTGGAGTGCATGAGAATATGAAATTCTGTTCTGCATTTGTCCCCTTTTGATCAAGATTCTTCTGTAGAATACTTGATCAAAATGTTCAGTAATGATAGTCAGGCACCATCCAGTTCTGGTTATGGCAGAGGAGGCAGTTGTTCATGGAGGCAATTGGTCACACATTCATTTTCCTCTTCCTGTTCCTGACTCTCTTCTTCCTCTGTTGCTCCCAGCAAATGGAGACCAGTTTGTACCTTGGATGACTGCTTGCAAGCACAACAAACAAGGAGGTAGAGCAGAAGCACTGAACACGTCATTAGACCAATTAACTGGGACATCTTGTGAAACCATGACCCTAAACCTCCAAACCAAGGAACTAAATCCCATGAGGTGTTTGGTTGTCCTATGTATATTTTACCACAATAAAATTTATAAATAAAAAGTATGTAATCTATGGGAATAAATAGTATAGTGATTATAAAGATACTAAAATGTGAGGTATTATTTAATGTCTTTAAAAACCAAAACTCTCGTTGCCATCAAGTTGATTCCTAATCATGGTGACCCCACGTGCTACAGAGGAATTTCTTGGCTGTAATCTTTGTGGAAGCAGTTTGCCAGGCCTTTCTTCTGCAGAGCTGCTGCCTGGGGTCAAACCCCCAACCTTTAGGTTAGCATCCAATCGAAAACCGCTTGTGCCACACTTAGGCCAGTCTTTCTTCCAAAAGAGTTATATCTATACTATCTACAGTTGTCACCTGCAACAGCACAGGACAAGTGGGGCCAGCCTCAAGCCTCCTTACAGAGGGTCCTCGTCCCCACTTCTGCTTTTCTCTGCACCTCTCTGTTCCTTTCCAGGACTGATGGTGGTCTGCTCCCCGAAGCGGTCAGGATGGAGGGTGCTCAGGGAGAAAGCAGCTGGTGGAGGGAGTGGACACACTGGGACCTGAGGCCTTTTGCTCCTGTCATCCCAACTGACTCGCAGCCTGGGGTTACTAGGAGGGAATGCAACCCCTCCCCACCACTCTCAGGCCTGCTGGTCTCCATGGCTCATGCTCTCACACAGCAGAGCCCGGGTGAGTGTTTCCTTCTAGATAGCGTGATATTTTTCTCCCTGTGGTCAGGGTAACTATCTTGGGGATGGAGGTGGTGACAACACAGGGGCTGTGTCCCCTCTGACCTTCAATTCCATGCACCCGTGGAGGGCTCCACCCCTAGACCCCAAGCACTGATTCTGACCATACGGGGCACTAGGACCCCAGGCACCTTCAACAGTGTCCTATAGGTGCTGAGTCCCCAACCAGGGTGCATGTCCCTCAGGCTGCTGCTTCCCTTCTCATGTGCTCCCTGCTCCCAGACCCAGGAACAGGACAGCCCTCACAAACTCTCTGAGTCCCTCTTATCTTTACCACACTCTGCCCCACAGTGAGACTGAGGACAGAGAACGGAATGGAGCAGGTGGAACTGAAGGGCAGAAAGCTGCTGAAAGGAGAAGTGGAGGCCATGAGAAGTGGAGACTGACCCATTCCTCCCCCAGTGGCCGCAGGGAAGGAGGTTTCATAGCTAAGAGGGCATCCACGATGAGCACAGGCTGTGCAGTCTCTCCTGGGTCCACAGTTATAACCAGGGGATTCACAGGAGGCAGGAGTGGAGACAGGCCTTCCCGGGATGGGGCAGGGGGAGGCTGGTCTATCCTAACCCAGAGCAGCTTGTCCTCATGACAGGATGGATCTTAGGTTCAGGTTCTCCCGGAAAGGTGATGAAGTCAGCACAAGGGACAGGACCTTTCTGCCGTCTCCCCAGGTGTGTCACAGCTTCTCAGCCTTGTCATGCACAGACTAGGTCCCTATTCCCCTCTTCACATCCCGCCCCCAGATCTGTCTGTCTCCTCTTGAACCACTTGAAAGTGGTCATCCAAGGTACAACAATTGGTCTCCATTCCCCTGGACAGCAGCACCAGCATCTCAGGCATGGCCATCAGGATGGAATGGGGGAGACATGAGCCTGGCTGAACCTCCCATGGTGACCAGGTCCCTACACTGTGTCCCCTCCTATTCCCTCCACCACATGCAGCTCTGGTCCTTCTCAGACTGCATCCTGCCCCTGCAACAGCTCTGCCTAAACTCCCCAGGGCCCCTGCCTGTGTGCAGGATGAACGTACATCAAGATTCTCCTCCCGTGGGCAGCTCAGGTGGTCCCTTCATGCTGCAGCATCCTGGTTCCAGATTGACTCAGACCTTGCCCAGACCCTGGTCTCCTCCTCCTCTGCCTGGCTTACACCCTCGGGCTTGGCCGACACTTCCATGACCCTCCCAGGTCATGTTGATCCTTGATCCTTTTATATACATCCTCATGGTCCCCGCAACACTTCTCTCTGGGTCTTTTTCAGACCTGTGATTCTTTATTTTGTCTGTCCCCTCTGCACTGGAGCCATGAGCATAGGGACAGCATCTTTGTCTGGTCCACAGTCGAGCCCAGTGACCCCAGGGCTTACTTATTACAAGTCCATGCAGGGCCTGGTGAGTAGAGGAGCATATGAATGAACGATCCTCTCAGACCTCACCTGCCTTCAGAGAACTGAGGTCTCCAATCCTGGTGTGACATTTTCTATCCAGAAGGCAGAAGACTGATCCCTGGAGCCGGGGGCGGGGGGGGCTTGGCCATGCAGACATCTGCTCCCTGTCTGCCCAGATGGACATCTGGAGGGCTCCCTGGAGAGTCCCCTGGAATTGCCAGTCCCTGTGCCAGCAGTGCTGTTCCTACAGGTATGCACAGGGCTCACCCCATGACTTTCCCTCTGCTCTCTGCCTAAATGTCACCCCATCAGAGGGACATGACAGCAGACCCCTGCCCCTCTGTCCCCATTTCATGAAATCTCATGCTCTGCCTCTGTGTTTCTCCATGTGTGTGTATGGATTTTCCTGTTTGTTCACTGTTCTTGGCCCACAGAACGTAAGGTCCATGGAATAGACCTTTGTCTGTTTATTGGACTGCAATGCCTAGATCAGGGCCTGGTATCTGGTGAGTGCTCAGTAAATATTTGCTGACTGAATGAGTGGGTGAGAAGACCCAGTGGTAGGGCTCAATGACTAAGGAGTCCTCAGCACAGCGTGACATGCGGAGATCTTTGGGGTTAAAAGTCTATCGAGTGCCCCTGGGACTGAGGTTGACGGGCAGTCAGCTGAGTCTGACCTGATCTGCATGAGCTGAAGAGCTCTAGGTCTAGTGAACAGAAGCCTGACTGACTCGTGTTCCCAAACAGAGAATCATTGCTGCCCAGTGTCCACACTTGAGGAGGGTCACCAACCCAGAGCCCATGAATGAAGGGGAGGTCAGGTCCCCTAAGGAAGGAGAAGGGAAGCACTCTACTGTACTGCCAAAAATCTGTGTTCGTTAATCCTCCCAACCATCCCCAAAGTGTCATGGAACCACAAATTGGGTTGACCTTCCATGCAGAAGGGAATAATCTGAACTTCCAGGGAATCCTGGACACTGGCTCTGAACTGACCCAGAGGGCCCAGTGGATCCCTGAACCTCTCTGTTATTTCCCGAGTTTTGGAATGCGTGATTGAATAACCATATTTAGCAACTGGCGGAATCTTCACACTGGTGTCAGACCTGTGACATGTAGGTTATTAGGGCAGGAAAGGTCAAGTGGAAGCTGTGGACCCGACTTACTTGTGAAAATAGTGAATGATCCGAGACCAACACCTTGTCCTGGAGGGATCATAGACATCAGGAAGACCTCCTGAGGTTTCCAAAGTATTGGTGATGTTGTTTTTTTAGTTGGAAGTTGTATACTCATTGCCAAAGTGCACTCTTAGTCAGAGAGGACATATTTATTATTAATTATTGTTGTGGGAGGATCATGCACAAGAAAAAGTTTTTAAGACATTAACAAAGAAAGTGTCTCGATAGAGATGTGGACAGTGACACAGGATGTGTTTCTGAAAGAATCATTCTGATTCCACTCAACAGTCTGTGTTTTTGGACAGGGCATCCTGGGCACCAGGACTACTAGTTCTCATAGTTGGGCTCACCCCACCTCCTTCCTCAGGGCCCCTCTGAGGCCTGTTTACCCAGAGGACAGCACTGAGCATCACCAGTAGCAGAGGCATCTCCAGGAAAACCAGAATCCAGAAGTAGACACTGCTGAGAAGGGACCTGTAGGTGACACAGTGACAGGCAGTGAGCTGCCTTCTCAGGGGAAGGCCCTTAGCCTCCTCTTCCTCCTGCCCGCCAGGTACAGGTTAGCTCAGTAAAGGTGAGATGAAAAAATGCATGAATGGACAAACCCATAAATCTACCAACTGCACAGAGCTCCAGGATGGGGGTCTGCAGGGGCTAGAATGACACCGTGTGGCCTGAGAGCAAGCGGGACAGGCCCCTGGCACCCTCACCCTATCAAAGGAGCTGAGAGTTTCAGCCCAATCTCCAGCTAGAATCTGGGACGACAAAGCGTTCCCCCAATGGAGAAGCTTGGGTGAGTAGGTCACTGGGAACAGTAGCATCTGAGCTGGCTTACCTGACATCGGAGAGCTGGCTGGTCATAGTGGGGGAGCCTGTGGTCTCCTCTAGGGTGGCTGGTGCTGTAAATGTGGTGTTGGGGAAGGTGGTGGTGGTCCACATTGTAGTTAGTGCTTGGCATACAGACAAGATTACATAGCACTCTGCCTGCTGACCCACCCAGCACTACACATGGCTCTGAACCTGGGGAGGGGGCAGTGCCCTTGCCTGAGGAGCCTTGAGCAGGGCTGTGAGGAGGGGGCTGTATTCTAGATCTCTCATATCTCCCCAGCCTCTAGGATCCTCAAGAGCCTCAGAAGCAAGTGGGGCTGACACAGGCACATATAGGACCTTGATCAGACCCTGGAAGGGCTGGAGGGGGCCCAGGAAGAACCTCAGGACAAGGGTGGCTGGAGTTCACTTGGATTCTAAATACTTCCAATGCTTATGACAGCACCTCAGCCCATACCTCTCCCTGATCTTATTTATCCAGCAAGGACAGGGTGGAATGGGAGCTTGCACACTGCTATCAACATATATCCTAAATCTGTGACTTCTAAGGTCAGAGCTAAACAAAATCCTGAACAAAATCATGTTAAGAAGAACCTTTACTTTGGGCAAGTTCCTAAGCTTCTAGGATGTGGCTTCTCCGGAGTGTTGTGAGGATTAAGTTAGATGAAGTACATGTTGCACTTTGCAAACTGTAGTGTTTCATCAGGCCAGGAGTGACTGGGGCTCTGTTGATTGTGGTGCCCCAAGTGTCCCGAGAGCTGGTGCTGCCCTTCCAAGGGTCAGCAGAAGCAGAGCCCAACAGATAAACTCCAGCCAAGGCACTGGGATCTCTAAGCTGACCTTCCCAGGAGTGTCTGCCTTGTAGAAGGACTTAGGAAGAGACATTATTAGGTTCAGATGCATAAATGGCTGACAGTGAGATTTCAGATACCAGGAGGGCAGTGATTTGATTGTGGGAGCCTTTCCAGACCTCAGAATTAGACCAAGCAATCCAACTATGCTGGACCTCTGTCTCCCCCGAGGTTGGATACGGGATAGGGAGTGGGAAGAGGCAATGAAGTCCCAGCCTAGAACTCCACAAAGAGTAGCCACACCTGGGCACCAGAGGTCCCAAGAAAGCTTTGGCAGGGATTGGTGTCTCTGGGTCCCATGGAAGGGGGTCCCTTTGATCCATGAGCTAGAACTGGGGACCATCGCCTTGTTCTCTATGGGAAGAGACTGAGCTGTGTAGAGAAGAGAATGTGCCCAGAAAGGCTTCATTCCATCCTGGAGGAGCCCTGGGAGCCATGAGAGACCATGTAAGAGAAGCCCCTCTCAACCCTAAGTCGACAGTGGGGTTCACTGACACCCTGGGGCTCAACCACCCTCTGCCCTACCCACAGTTGAGTCACTCAAGAGAGCCCTCAGAGACCAAGACAGAGCAGACACTGAAAGACACATCCACAGCCACACACTCTTACCTGGGTCAATTGACACGTTAACTTTGACTGCAAGGTCAATTCCGGTTCTCTCAATCCCACACCAGTAAATGCCTGCATCATCTTCTCTAAGCTTCCCCATGGTCACACGGAATATGCGGTTTTTCTGACTGTCCCTGATGGACACGCGGTCCTTCTTCACCTGCTGCTCTGACCCTGTGGTTTTAACTAGGATTTTGCAGTTAACCCAATGAGCTCCTCGACACCACCACTTGTAGTAGGTCTCCCATCCTGGGTCATAAACACACTGCACGGTCAATGAGCCTCCCTCCAGGCCACTCACTGCATTTGGACCTGACATGGGGGAGCAGCCTGGAAAACACAAATCCATGTACCAGTCACCTCCCACCCTGAAGGGAGGGCCACAGCTTCCTGCAGTGGGAATAGCTCCCAAATCCAAACGCCTGATGAGTTGAATAACAGTCAAGTATGGAATATACCTTCTACAAGACAGACCTTTTTTCCTTTGAAATTCCACTGGTCAAACCCCCACTTAAGTCACTGAAGAGTGTAACTACAGATTTCAAAAGAAATAAAAACGTTGACACTGAGCAATAACAGCTTTCTGTAATTCACTGCTCTCCCTCCCCTGTGGCCAATATAATCTCTATATTTCAAGGGATGCTTGCAGCTGTTACTTCTCATTTTGAGTCAAGTCACATCATCAGATGAAGGTCCTGAAAGCTTGACTCTATCCATGTCATTAAGGCTGACTCTACTTTGAGGAGGCAGCTCTCCCTCAGTCATATTTTGAGTGCCTTCCAACCTGAGAGGCTCATCTTCCGGCACTATATCAGACAGTGTTCTGCTTATATTCATAAGGTTTTCACCAGTCAGTTTTTTCAGAAGTAGACCACCAGGTCTTTCTTCCTAGTCTGTCTTAGTCTGGAAGCTCCGCTGAAATCTGTCTACCATAGGTAACCCTGCTGGTATTTCAAATACCAGTGGTACAGCTTCCAGCGTCACAATAACACACAAGCCACCACAGTACAACCAACTGACAGACAAGTGGTGGAAAAGCCACCCCTAGCAATGCCAAATATGTCACTGAGGACTAAGGTGGGCCTGACCCAAGCCATGATATTTTCAGTCACCTCATATGCATGTGAAAGCTGGACAGTGAATAAGGAAGGCCAGAAAAGAATTGATGCCTTGGAGTTATAGTGTTGGCAAAGAATATTCAATGTACGATGGACGCCAGAAGAATGAACAAATCTGTCTTGGAAAAAGTACAGCCAGAGTGTTCCTTGGAAGCAAGGATGGGGAGACTTTGTCTCACTTTAGACATGTTATCAGGAGGGATCAGTCCCTGGAGAAGAGCATCATGCTTGGTAGAGAGTCAGCAAAAAAGAGGAAGACCTTCAACAAAATGGATTGCCACAGTGGCTGCAACAATAGGCTCAAATATAGCAACAATTGTGAGGGTGGCGCAAGACTGGGCAATGTTTCGTTCCGCTGTATATAGGGTCGCTATGAGTTGGAACGCATTCGATGACATCTAACAACAAGCATGGCCAGGGCTCAGGTCGTTTCCACTCTGAGGTAGCACATCCAGGTCTAGTCCATCTTGTGGTGCAGCTTGTTAGACAAGGCAGTCAGTTTTTCCCTAATAAAACAGATATTATGGATTGAATTGTGTGCTGGGATTGGGGTGCTGTGTTAACAGATGCCTACTATGTGGAAGTGGTTTGAAACTGTGACTGAGTAGAGGCTGGAAGGTTTTAAGATGCCTGATAGTAAAAGCCTAGGTCGCCTTGAAAGGACCGTTGGTGGAATTACGGACATGAAAGGCAATTCTGGTGAGGGCTCAGAAGGAAGTGAGGAGAGCAGTAAAGCTGGAGATGGTACAGACTGTGAGAACCAGCGGCAAAGAAACAGCGGCAGCAGAACCAGGATACTGATGCAAGACAGCATCAGAGCAGACCCATGGCTCAAGAGGGCTGAGTGCCTTCAGACCGAGAGGACAAGGAACCAGGAAGTAGAAGATGAAAAGACAAGGACTTGGTTGGTGCCTCTTATCCCTTCTTTCCCTCCAATTTCTCTCATTGGTAAAGAAAATGTCTACCTTGTGCCTGTTCTACCATTGTACTTTGGAAGCAGATAACTTGTATTCTAGATTTCACAGATGAAGATGAATTGTGCCCCAGGATGGAATTTGCACTTGGAGTTGATTTAAGACTTTTGGGATGACATGATGGGGTGAATATATTTTACATGTGGCAAGGACATGAATTTTGGGGACCAAAGGGTGGAATGGAATGGAATGAATTGTGTCCCCCGAAAGTGTGTGTCAACTTGGCTAGGCCATGAATCCCAGTATTGTATGGTTGTCTACCATTTTGTGGACTGATGTGATTATCCTAGGTGTTGTAAATCCTACCTCTATGATGTTAGTGAGGCAGGATTAGAGGCATTTATGTTAAGGAGGCAGGACACAATCTACAGGATTAGGTTTTATCTAGAGTCAATCTCTTTTGAGATATGAAACAGAGAATCAAGCAGAGAGGAGAGGGGCCTACTACCACCAAGAAGGAAGAGCCAGGAGTGGAGCACATCATTGGACCGGTGTCCCTGCGCTGAGAAACTCTTAGACCAGGGGAAGATTGATGACCAGGACTCTCTCCAAGAGCCAACAGAGAGAAAAAGACTTCCCCTGGAGCTGGTGTCATGAATTCAGACTTCTAGCCTCCTAAACTGTGAGAGAATAAATTTGCTTGTTAAAGCCATCCATTTGTGGTATTTTTGTTATAGCAGCACTAGATAACGAAGAAATGGAGTAATTAAAACTCTCTTCATTTCTCACAAAAGACTGAGCAAATGCAATAAAACCTAGTGAGAACTTTTTGCTTGATGTTTCTTAGTATGGGCTTTAAAACAATGAACTCTTTAGATGTTCATTAGAAGGGAAGTAGTGTGAGTTAAATTTGTTGCTTGTGACTGGAAGTTTCGTGGTGTCTTAAGTTATCAAGTGCTGCTATAACAGAAATACCACAAGTGCGTGGCTTTAACAAATAGAAATTTATTTTCTCAGTGTTTAGGAAGCTAAAAGTCCTAATTCAGTGCACCGGCTCCAGAAGAAGACTTTCTTTCTCTATTGGCTCTGGGGAAAGGTCTTTGTCTTTTTTCATTTTCTGTTTCTTGGCTCTTTGGTGATCTTCATGTGGCATGGCCTCTGTATTCCCCCATCTCTGCTTTTTTGTTGCTTGCTTAATCTGCTCTTTTGTATCTCAAAAGAGATTGATTTAAAAACACACCCTACAATAATACTGCCTCATTAACATAACAAAGAAAACACATTCCCAAATGGGATTATAACCACAGGTATGTTGTTAGGTGCCCTCTACTCAGTTCCAACTCATAGCGACCCTACGTACAATAGAATGAAACACTGCCAGGTCCTGGGCCATCCTCACAGTCATTGCTATGTTTGAGCCCATTGTTGCAGCCACTGTGTAAATCCGTCCCGTTGAGGGTCTTCCTCTTTTTCACCTACCCTCTACTTTACCAAGTATAATGTCATTCTTCAGGGACTAGGCACTCATGATAATGTGTCCAAAGTAGGTGAGATGAAGGCTCATCACCCTCACTTCTAAGAAACATTCTGGCTGTACTTTTTCCAAGACAGACTTGTTTTTCTTCTGGCAGTCCATGGTATATTCAATATTCTTTGCCAACACCTTAATTCAAAGGCATCAATTCTTCTTCAGTCTTCCTTATTCATTGTCCAGGCTTTGCATGCATATGAGGTGATGGAAAATACCATGGTTTGGGTCAGGCACACCTTAGTCCTCAAAGTGACATCTTTATTTTTTAACACTTTAAAGGGGTCTTTTGCAGCAGATTTACCCAATGCAATATACATCTTTTGATTTCTTGACTGTTGCTTCCATAGGCATTGATTGTGGATCCAAGTAAAATGAAATATCTGACAATGTTGCTTATTGATCCAGTTGTTAGGATTTTTGTTTTCTTTGTGTTGAGGTGTAATCCATATTGAAGGCTGTAGTCTTTTATGTTCATTAGTAAGTGCTTCAAGTCTTCTTCACTTTCAGCGAGCAAGGTTGTGTCATCTGCATATCTCAGGTTGTTAATGAGTCTTCCTCCGATCTTGATGCTATGTTCTTCTTATAGCCCAGCTTCTCGGGTTATTTGCTCAGCATATAGATTGAATAAGTATGGTGAAAGGATACATCCCTGATGCACACCTTTCCTGACTTTAAACCATACAGTATCCCCTTGTTCTGTTAGAATGACTGCCTCTTGAGCTATGTACAGGTTCTTCATGAGCACAATTAAGTGTTCTGGAATTCCCATTCTTGACAATGTTATCCATAATTTGTCACGCATCCTGGAAAACACAAGCTAGTCCGGGCTCCTCATCTGGATGGTCCTGGGTCAGAGGTGCCCCAGAGGTCAGTCCTCAGGATCCCTCATAGTCTGGAGGGGGCAGCAGCCAGGGACTTGGGCCTGAGGGATGAGGAGCTCCCTGCTGTCAGAGGTGGGAACAGGAACTGAGAGTGTCCAAGAGACAAGAGGGGCCAGGACAGGAAAATACCGTGTGTGTGTGTGTGTGTGTGTGTGTGTGATGTACCAAGACACCATTTCTGATGCAATAATTACAGTAACGTTCAGGCACTGACTCTCATTGAGGCCCCTCTGAGTCTTGTCCTGTGGGCAGGTGCTGATGGCTCCGGAGTGTTCTTGGCACCTCTCCCCTCTCCTCACTCCACTGCACCTTCATCCGCTCCCCTCACCCCTTCCCTCATGCCTTCGCCTTACTCCCTTCCTCACTCCCTCCTCTCATCTCTCCCCTCATCCCCTCCCCTCACCCCCTCTCATCACTCCCTCTCTTCACCCTCTCTCCTCATCCCCTCTCCTCACCCCTCCCTTCACCCCCTGCTCTCACTCTCTCCCCTCTTCCCCTTCCGTCACCCTTCCCCTCATCCCCTCCCCCATCCACTCCCCTCACCCCTTCCCCTTACTCCCCTTGTCACCTCACCCCCTCTCTCCCTTTACTTCTTCCCTTCACCCCTTCCCCTCACCCCTCCCGTTACCCCCTCCCTTATCCCCTTTCCTAGCCTCTCCCTTACCCCTCTTCTCATTCTCTCCCCTCACCCTCTCCACTACCCTTTCCTCTCACTTCCTTCCCTCACCTCATCCCTTCCCCCACCCCCTCCTCTCATAGTCAGAGCAGAAGTCCCCAAGCCAAGGCCGCCCCACTTATCTGGAACACTGAGAAGGAGCAGCACTGTGAGCAGCCACAGGGTCTTGCTGCCCCACAGGGTCATTTCTTCAGCACAGATCTCCACCGCAACAGCACGGGTCCAGTGGGCATGGCCTCAAGCTTTCTCTCAGAGGTTATTGTGCCCACTTCTGCTTTTCTCTGCGCCTCTCTGTTCTTCATCCAGCACCCATGAAGGCCTGCTCCCCAAGGGGTCAGGACCGAAGGGGCTGAGAGGAAAAGCAGCTGGTGGCTGGGTTGGACACACAAGGAGCTTGGTCCTTTTGCTCCTCTCATCCCAACTGACTCACAGCCCAAGGTCACTCAGAGAGGACACAGCTCCTGCCCACTGCTCTCAGGCCTGCTGGTCTCCATGGCTCACACTCCCACACAGCAGAGCACCGTTGGGTGTTTCCTTCTAGTTGGGACTTCACCCTTGTCCATCTAAAACTGTTGTTTCCTCGTGATCAGGGTGACAGTTATGGCAGTGGAGTCAAGGTAGTCCATCCTTCTCCAGCCT